TCTTAACAGGATGCTAAGGGTTTGTGAGAAATATGCTGCTGAGCACGGGCTTACATACAATGTAAAAAAGACAGAATGCATGGTGTTTAAGGCCGCCGGTAAATGTCCCGATAAAGTCAATAACATTACCCTGAACGGCCTGAACATATAACGTGTATCAAAATTTAAATATCTGGGACATATAATTACTGACAACCTTAAAGACGACGCTGATATAGAAAGGGAACGTAAAGCTCTCTCAGTTAGAGGCAATAAGTTGGCTTGCAGATTCTATCGTTGTAGTAAAGACGTAAAGGTGACTCTTTTTAAAGCGTATTGCCAAAACATGTACACGGGAAATCTGTGGAATAACTATACCAAGAAGTCGCTGGACACCCTATGAGTCCAATATAATAATGTGTTCAGGATGTTGTTGGGATTGCCTCGTTTCTGTAGTGCATCAGCGATGTTTGCAGAATACCAAGTTGACGACTTTTCAGCCATTATTGGCAAGTAAACCACATCGCTGATATTTAGAGCGCGAGGCAGTCCCAATAGCATTCTGCAAACCCTGGCGATAGGTATACTTTTCCATTTTGGGCCTACTTTGTGAGGAGGGTTATTTTAATACACAGTTATTTAGATTAAATTCAAATTGACCTCATCTGATTTTATTTTGATATTTTATTTTATTTTGATTGTATTTAATCTAATTTAATTAAGACATTATTTGCTTTCGACTGATTTTTATTAGATTTTTTGTTTGATTGTATTTAATTTTATTTTATTTGGCATTACTATTATTTGATTATTATTTTTTTTATTTATTTATTTTTCTTATTTTTGATCTTATTGTAATTTAATTTTGGGTATAGATTTGATTTTAGTTTTGATTTAATTTAATTAAATTTATTTAATGTTCTCAATTACTAACCTAATATAAGTCATACTAACAACTTATGGATCTTTGATATCTGAAATAAAGAATTATTATTATTATTATTAATAACACAATAAAACAAAATTATAATGCAATAAAAGGGTTGTTACTTACATAGCTATAGATATAGATAGTGTATGAGATGGTCAAAATGTAGCATAATGCGTCTATTGAAGTCGAGCTGATTTTCAGCTAACTACTACAAAAACTACTATAAAAAATTTACTATTCATAAACAACTTATATTTAAATGACATCACTTCTAACAAGGATCTGACACTTGCCCTTTTCTCTATTTCTTATTCACAATAATGTGTTTTACATTAGTAAAGAGATTTTTTAGGTTTTCTCTTGGAGTGTGAAAAAGAAAAGGTTTCACCAAGTTTAATTAAAAATACTTAGATACGTATATTATATTGAGTAAGAACGTTTATTTTCAATATTTTATATATTTAAACCCATCTTGTACCTTGTTGATCTGGGACTTTCAAAATTAGATTTTAGGAAGTCAAATGTGATGAGGACTTAATAACAAAAAAAGGCCAACTGTGTTACTTAACTGTGTTCCAGTACGTTTTTTTTTTTATAGGAGAGGGGGCAAACGAGCATGCGTCTCACCTGATGGTAAGTGACTACCGCCGCCCATGAACAACTGCAACACCGGGGGAATTATTAGATAGTAGTAGATGCGTTGCCGGCCTTTTAAAAAGGAGTACGCTCTATTCTCGAAGTTTCCTAAGTCGTACCGGTCTGGAAATATTGCTGATGGTAATCGATTTCCACAGGGAATTTGTGCAAGGAAGAAAACATCTTCTTAATCGCACAGTGGTGGACCGCCAATCTTCCAGATGGTATGGATGGTATCGCGAGTTTTGTCGCAATGTGCGATGGTAAAATTGAGCGGTTGGAATTAGTCCGAACAATTCCTCAGAGCACTCCCCGTGGTACATGCGATAAAATAAGCAAAGAGATGCAACATCTACGCAGCGCCAGTGAGTCTAGTCGATCGAAAAGAACTCGGTCGTCGACGATTCGAACTAGTGATGTGTCCCTCACTCATGAGTTGCCTCGTTTGAGGTCCTCGTGACGGCAAATCGAAAGAGTTACTCGAATTTTAACATTAGATCACCTCACTCACTCGTTCACGACCTCGCATATGACTGACAATATGAATCGTGTCCCGAGTGAGTGAGCAAACGAACGATTTTGCTGCAAAACTAAATGAGTGAGGTGTTGATATTGAGAAAAAACGTTAATAAACAACAAAAATAATGTTTGAGTAATGGAATTTGAAACAATCAAGTCACATAATATATGAGTGTGAAAATAAAATCATGCGCACTTTTTTGTGATATCGAATTTTATTTGCGTCTACTGATAAAGCAGGTTGTAACATAATAATATTGTAAATTTAATAAATATGGTAACAATATTTCCTCCTTTCAAAAAAAACTATTGGAAGGAGGCGACTCGCCTTGTAAGATGAATACACCGACTATTGCTTCCTCACCTCAAATGAGGGGTATCTCATGAGTACCTCGCTAGGTAAAACGAGGTGCTTCCTCATCCTCAAATAAAATAGATGAGTAGCCCATGAGTAATTCGAACCACTCTGCGCTGGATGCGGTCAAGTGGAAGGAGCTGGCACTGGGGAGCCACTGCCCAGAGATGGGATCGTGCCGGTTTCCTCACGAAGTTTTTCTTCACTGCCGAACATGTGGATATGTTATTTATCTATTATATACATATATTTATCAGGTTCATTATATTATATATATTTATCAGGTCGTCATCATCGTTATATGTACTTTTTATATTTTATTAAGTGGTCATCACCGTCTTACTGATTTTGCAGCTAAGCAGTGTACTCACTGTCGTGTTTCGGTTTGAGTGAGTATGTAACAAGTCTTTCTGCATTATTTATTTAATAGTTGGCTGCAGTTTTAATCAATTAAAATCCATCTAACATTTTTTTCGCAAAAAAATCTTATGAAAAAAGTAGGGGGCGAGAGAAGGACAGAAAATCGTAGGTATAATCGTAGAGAGAAGGATAGCAATGCTATCATATAGGTACAATTTTCTGCAATTCTTTCGCTCTTAACCGAATGCGAGTACATCAATTGAAAAAGACGAATTTTATCATACGAGCGATATGTAACTAAGCGTAATAAAGAGCAACCTCCTACTATATGAAGGGGCAACTTGTAGAGGCATGAAATGAAAAGAAGACGTAAGAAACTAAAATTTCGTTTGCCAAACGTCAACAGGTTTTTTCCTATGTCGTGGCGTTTCGTAATACGGTTCCTCTGCCTGGAGAGCAAACGGCATTATTCAGTATAATTCTTAATCAAAAAAGAATAGTCATGTTAAAGTTGGTAAAAAAATTACTTCGCGTACATCCGCTCGATAAAATAAAATGATGCATCTTACCTAGTTTGAAGAGCAAGAGTACTGTATTGTCGTCAGAGCACACTACTGACGACAATACAGTATTGTCGTCAGTAGTGTGTTTTTGTGTGTGCACGCAATTGAGGGAGGGCGGGAAGTGCTCTTCAAACTAGGTAAGACACATCATTTTATTTTATCGAGCGGATGTACGCGAAGTAATTTTCTACCAACTTTAATATAATGGACTTCCGCAAAGTAACGCCTGATTCTATTAATAAGAAAAGTCATGGGTAATCGAAGTATGTTCTATCCCAAAATTAAACAAGAAAGCATGCCCATTTAAACTTAATTTTATATGCGTTCTGGGAATTGATGGATCTATCAAGGGTTTTAATAATACAAACAAGTTACTACTCCATGTGATTCTAAGTCGGTACAGCAGCACATGACATCTTTAAACAAAGATGAAGGCTCCGTGGCGCAGTGGCTTAGCATCGAGTTGCGGCAATAAGGGCCGCGGGTTCATATTCCCCACGGAACAGGTATATGTATGTGATATTATATGCGCTTGTGGAATTCATGTTTGTAAACTGCCTCCACGATACAGGAGAAAATCCTAGTGTGGGGGTCACATCTTTTTGTAATTTCAAAAAAGTAAGGAAAAAGTTGCCTCATCACATTTCATCGCCCTGACACCCCTGAAAGCTAAGATGAAATGTTTTGAAATTACACTGATTGTCTCATTCTTAAGAACGATGCACAGCGGGTTGTGAACGGCTGAGAAGTGTCTGGTACAAATCCAGGTGGACTCCAAGACGAGGAAGCTTTACGATCTAGTATAATAAAAATTAAGGTATACGTAGGTGGTGGTGTAAGAATATTCTTAGAATATGTGTAAGAATATTCTTATCCACTACCCCATATTATCCCGTGGGTTCGTACCAGACGAAAGAAGTAAATAATCCAGGAGGTATACCTCTTATAAGGCAATGTATAGAGGAGGCTTACATTCAGCACTTTTGAAGGCTATAACGGTAAAGATAAAATAAATGTTTGAATAGAATAGAATAGAATTCAATAATTTTTATTTAATATTGATTACAAGTAATTCTTATTGAAAGTAATGTTTTTACTTTACCACTAGTTCGAAAAAAATCCTCTATCCTGGGAAGAACCAACAAGAAACCTAAATTTTTAATGATTACAAACTTTTTACAAAATTTATTTTAGAAACAGCTTGGAAGTGACCACCTCATTCCCAGGGGTTTCTATCTCAATTACTGCTGAAGATGTATACTCAATTACTCGTAGATTACACAATTGGAAGTCACCTGGACCAGATGGTATACACAACTTTTGGCTGAAATGTATAACAAACGTGCGTTTGGCTGCACAGATTCAAGAAGCCATTGAGTGCTGTGAGCTCCCGTTACTTCTTACAACCTGTATTACCCACTTACTATATAAAAATGAAAACACCACGGAACCTAAAAATTACCGACGTATAACATGCCTTTCAACTGTATACAAATTAATAACTGCAATTTTAAATAACAAAATCTATAAACATTTGGAAAATAATGACATTTTTTCAACTGCACAGAACGGATGTCGGAAAGGGTCGTGTGGTTGTAAAGAACTTCTTCTCATTGACACAGCTATTTGCCGACAAGTCTTTCGTAATCGCAAAAATATGTCCGCTACTTGGGTGGATTATAAAAAGGCATATGACTCTGTTCCACATTCATGGCTAAAGAGAGTTTTAGAAATATATAAAATAGATGACAAAATTTGTAAGTTTTTAAGTAAATTAATGGGTCAGTGGAACACTGTCCTAAATCTACCAGGTGAGTGGCAAAGTAGTTCGATAGACTCTATAAATATTAAGCGGGGTATATTCCAGGATGAGAGTTTGAGCCCAACTTGGTTTTGTTTAGCCCTGAATCCTTTAAGCACTGCTATTGAGGAATCTGGATTTTGGTTTCGGTTTCGAAAAGAAAACTCACCCATCTCACATCTTCTTTACATGGATGATCTCAATTTATTCACATCAAAAGAGAGTATTCTACTATTTTTGTTGAAACTAACACAAAGTTTGAACAATGATATTAGAATGGAATTTGGAATAGATAAATGTGCTGTTATCAACGTAAATAGGGGCAAAATTAAAGATTGTAATAATTTTGCAATTACAAATGACTTACATTTCAGTTCTCTTTCTGAAACAGAAACCTATAAATACTTGGGCACGGCAGAAGCGCTAGAAATTAATGACAAAAATATTAAAGAAAATTAAAAAGTAAAATTTATGTCAAGATTAAAAAAAGTTATCAAAAGTAATTTATCCGGCGGAAACAAAATTAGAGCATAAAACTCCTGGGTAATACCTAGCCTTCTATATACTTTTGGTGTTACAAGGTTGTTTCAAACGGAATTGGATGACTTAGATAGATGAGTCCGTACGTTAATGACTACGCACAGAATGCACCACCCGCGATCATCTGTCATGAGGTTGTATCTTCCAATAAAAGATGGTGGACGGGGCTTATTAAACATTAGAAACCTACACAACCGTGAAGTATACAACCTCAGAGACTATTTTATTTTAAAAAAGACACATCACGCATTCATAGTGACGTAGTGATTAATGACAAATCATTAACCCCGCTTAATATGTCGGCAAAGGACTGGCAGAGGCCTCATACTATGACTATAGATGAACGCAAAAAGATTTGGAAGGACTTACAACTGCATGGTCGATTTATTTTAAAACATTGACTAATATCCTTGTGTAGACATGGTTGCATCAGTACATTAGTTACAGTTTGGTGACCTTTTTGCATAAACTGAAGGTTTTATCTGTGCAATACAAGATGAAGTAATTAAAACGAACAATTACCGGAAGTACAATTTGAGGTACGGCACAGTTGACGTATGTCGCGCGTGTCACCACCCTGGAGAGTCCCTCAGACATGTTATTTCCGGTTGTTCACAACTATCAAATGGCGAGTATTTGCACAGACATAACCAATTAACTGGAATAATACACCAGCAGCTTACCATTAAATTTGGTTTTACTCAACAGGACGTTCCATATTATAAGTATGAACCAAAGCCAGTCCTTGAAAATAGAAGTATCACGCTGTACTGGGATTATTCAATTATCACAGACAGATTCAAAGTGGCAAATAAACCTGATATTGTGGTGATAGACCGAACTACACGCAAGGCAATAATAGTGGATATCAGTGTTCCTCATGACGAGAATCTTGTGAAAGCAGAGAATGATAAAAGAAATATATCGACTTGGCTCATGAGATTGTCGCTATGTGGGACGTTGATTCTACTATTATTGTACCAATAGTTGTATCGGTCAATGGGCTTATTGATAAAAATATGGACGATTATCTGTCCGAGTTAGGTTTGGGCAAATGGCTGAAGGGATTAATTCAAAAATCGGCTTAATTAAATACGGCTCAAATAGTAAGAAGGTTCCTATCTTTGGATGCCTAACTCTCCGATGGCTTAGGATTCCTCGCCGAGGTGGATAATAGCCGTAATAATAATATTATTTATATAGATTGCAATTATATTTATAATAATATAGTTTTGTGACGATATGTGTGATAATGTAATAATAAAAATTCATTTATTTCAGACCAATTATCCATATTTGTTAAAAAATTATAATCTAAATACCTATAACATTAAAGAAAATTAAAAAGAATAAATATAAACACTAAATAAAATTACAATTAAAATTAAAATACTACTTTAGATCGTGGCGTGTCTAATATACAGTATGCAGATTTATCCAACGCCCTAACATTAGTGAATCCCATCTGTCCGCTAGTACACTGAGAATGATATTGGTGCTCGTTCGCATGCGATTCAGCATGGAGGCACGTCTTTTGCGCATTATGGCTTCAAGCCCATCAACATGAGCCTCTGCAAACATGCCAGAGGCGCTTCAATACCCAGGCAGCCCCATTATAATTCTCAACGCATTATTGTATTGACATTGATATTTTACTAAGGGGTCACATCACTCCTCATTATATTTACATGTCTTTACCAGATTATCCATAGCCAGTATGTGTTTTTTTATTTCATTTTGGGCTGATTTATATTAATTTATTGGGCTCACTTTAAAGGGAATTAGAAAGTAGTAAAGTATTAAAGTTATTAAAAAGTTACCTCGCGTACATCCGCTCGATAAAATAAAATGATGTGTCTTACCTAGTTTGAAGAGCACCTCGCGCCCTCCCTCAATTGCGTGCACTATCCCCATCACCACTAATCCCAGCACCACTACTTCCAACACCACTACCCTAGGAAAGACATACCATTGACGACAATAGACACGTGTTTCACCTCTACACGAGGCATCTTCAGGTGATGTAGACTCCGCGGTGGCTGACCACAAAGTCAGTCAGGCGAAACACGTGTCGTATTATGTCGTATATTTTTTATCAAACAAATAAACGTATAATGTTACTGTAAAACTCCGTATTTGGGTAAATCTTAGGATTTTCTTTTAAATCTTAGGATTTACCAACATGATGTAAGGTTTTCTATAAAATGAGACGATTTTTCGGGCTTTTACCCTTAGAATTTGGTACACGCTAAGTTTTACCAATGACTATTAGTAAATGTTGGTTTTGAAAATAAAAATATATAATATAAGTAGAAAGTATTTATTAAATATCTAATCATGCTACCGACTAAACTTTAAAATATTTTATGTCGAGTTTTTAATGTCAGTATTCCATGAAATCTTTGTGTCACACACATTTTGTCCCTTAAATACTTCTAGACAAGAAAAACGTACGTACTAAGCGACCGACTGTGTCGAGCGGAGAGAGGTGACACTGCACATTGTCCGCGAGCACGATAATGCACCAAGCACTTCTATACATGACTATTTTTCAACATTTTACGTGTCTCTGAGGTAAAACCTAAAATTTACTAAGTTAATGGTAGTAAAGGTACGAAATTAACGATTAACACAGAACAGTTCGAAGTTTTACCATTAAGACTTGATAAATCCTAGGTTTTACTGGAAAATCTTAGGATTTACCGTAGTTCGAGCTTTTAGAGTAACATATATATTTAATCACTAAAATGAAGATCAGGTTCCACCAATTTCTTTTGTGTGGCATATGACACGCGAGTCGTGTCTTTTGTTAAAATTGTTATAACTCGCTCAAATTGCGTTTAAGGATAGCTCATGCCTATAGCTTCGTTTCAGGATATTTTGAAAATTTTAAATATTTAGGGGTTGACAACCTTTTCGTAACTTGTACATGGTACCCTTATTACTTCGTGGGTTTTAAATCATGTTGTGGAAAAATAATCTAATCAGTAATAAATAATAGCACTCACTGCGATCGATCACAAACTCAAGTTGTAAATAAATTTCTGGAAAACAAGTCTCCTGTTAAAAAAAAAACAATTCGTTTGTCTTATTGTTTAATTTTACTTAAAATGGTTGAACTGCCATCTTATTAATATCATATGGCCGAATAGACTTACGAAGTACCACGTGCTTTTGTGATATGGTATAGGGTTTATTTTTGCTTGAAACAGTTTGAAACCGTTCATGCGTAAAAAAAGTTCGCTAAAAAATATTATTTTCTCAATCCGCTGCCGTATAGACTTTAGAATCTTTCAGATTTTACTTTTACATTTGTATAACATTAAATAATATTTAACATTTGTAAATATCAATGAATCATAAACCTTATTTTTTTCCAAATTAGGGTTCTTGATTATTTGATATTGACAAATGTTATTATTAGGTGAAAATTTAATTTAATAAAAACCTAGGTTTTTCAGGGTGATTTAGCTGTACCTACTTATATAAATGATTTTTTTTAAAACAAAAAATAGTACAAAAGTTTTGTACTCTCTGCATAAAAATATCACTCTCAATTTTAAAAAGAAACACGTAGAAAAACATGTAGTAACCCACTAAAAACAAGTATCCTTCCGTTTGTAACTGATGTTTGATGTCAACTAAACTTAATTAGGTCTAAGCAAGTGAAAAAAGCATAAAAAAGAAAATTATTTTTACACATGGCTAGTGGCACAAAATGCGTGTCATCAACTTATGTGGCGCTTGATACGCCTGGCGAAAATTGAAATCCTGACCGAACCTCCTTTCCAAAATTTGGAGCAAAAAATGAGAATATAGTGTTCTTGATGCTCCTCTTGATGGTAATTGAGGGTAGGTGGGCCACTATCACTGCTGCATGCGTCAAACATACTTGTGAATAGATACTGCTTGTGAGAACTGGTATGGTCGGACTTACAATACACTTACTAGCTTTAATTATCTTCATTTATTGTTGTAAAATTTTATTACAGAATTTGGTCGAATATTTTTATGGAAATTAAAATCATATAAAATTATAAAAATTCATATTATTATTACAAGCAAATATGAAAATTTTACCGGAAAAATTTACGAACGCACACACTAATTTACTAAAATCAAGGTATGGTTTTAGATGAAATAGATTGCGGTATAACTATCAATATTCAAACAAGATATACAATCTCCAGATTGGCGATTAGAAGCTGCGTCAGTAGTGCAAAAAATCGATTCTCAATCCGCTTGCCAAAGTTTTGTCAATTAAGACAGCCAATTACGGGAGAGATTAAGGCTAACTTGGCGGTGTTGCAGGGTGTTTTTATGGCTGCAAAGACAAGGTTAGACAATTAACAGGCTGTTAGGGTAAGAGATAGAAAAAGGACGCAATTGATATTCTTCCTACACGTGACTACAGTATTATTTCTTACAACATTCAAAATTACATTAATAAAACTTGTAAATAAAATAGAGTATTTATCGTCAAAAGGAAAATAAATACTCAGACTGGTGATGGGCAGCAGGGTATGAGGTGTAAGACATCTGGTATAGCGAAGGTCAATCCAACTGCTAAACGTGACGATTTATGTAAATCGTTTATACAACGGGAGAGGCCCGTGTCTAATAGTGGTGTTATACGGTCTGATGATGAAGAAGAAAAGGAAATAAAATAAAGATACTTTTAAATTATACCTACGAAGTTTCTTTTTCCTTTTTCTTCCCTGAAGGTATTACGAGTAGTTGGCTGCTCTTTGAACTCTGCCTATCCCCTTAGAGATTACAGGCGTAGCGCTATGTTTTTTATAAATGTAAAAGTCTTTAAAATTTCTTAGTCTAAAAATTGTGTGGTGAGTAATATTGACGCTTGTGTAAGCGGCATATTTTAGGAAACTGTAATGCAGTAAATTTAGCACGATAATTTA